ATCCAATAATACATTTATCAATTATCGTTATTTACAGCTTAAAAACTAACCAATTAGAATTTTTATAGTAAATCATAACTTACCACAAGCGACTGAAGTGCCTGGTTTGTTTCGAAGGGGAAGCGCACAACATGTTAAACCAGCGTTACATTTTTGAAGAGACCATTGGTTTTTACCAGAGCATTGAGCGAATTGACCATTAATACAAGCGTTATCGCCGGGATTACATGGAGAACTCGTGGTTAAAGTATCAAATTTCTTTTGGAGATTCTCAGCTTGTATCGCGTTGTCTTTTTGGAAACATGTAGAGTTGTTGCTCTTTGGAGGGTTGGTGCTCTTTGGAGGGTCGGGGTTTGAGTTGCTCTTTAGAGATTTGGTGTTTTGCTTGCTCTTTGGAGGGGTGTTTTGTTTGCTCTTTTGAGATTTGGTGTTTTGTTTGCCCTTTGGAGGGCTGATATTTTGTTTGCCCTTTGGAGATTTGGTGTTTTGGTTGCTCGTTGGAGATTTGGTGGTTTGTGGAGCTGGAGCTCCGATGACGAGAACAGCTAAGGAAGCAATCAAAACCAAAAGTCCAACAAGATAAAATTTCATTTTCGAAAAATAAAGAAGGATAATGATAATGGAAAATATATATGATATTTTTTGAGATTAGTTTGTTAAAGAAAATATTGTGTTTCCAGAACACTAGAATTTATTATTTCAAAAGAACTTGCTTTTTTGTCTGAAGGTGACCAAAGAATTCTGACGGCCATTTTATATAAAAAATTTTTTTGAGAATTATGCGGCAAGGTATTTATTTGTACGGATAAAACTTGAGCGCAGAAAATACATATTTTTGTTCTACACAAATATTTATTTTTAGATCATAATTCGTCCGGCGTAATTTTGGTTTCAATATCAAAGATTTTTTTTTTTTAAGTCATTGTATTTTCGAGCGTAAAATACTTCAATCATTGTTTTAGACATAATTACTTGGTGTAGGTTGTTTCATTTTCTTTTTACGACCTTGGATCCGGTCAAAGGCATGATTGTTCTTTATTAAGATACTGAATTTGGATCTTCGAAGGGTCACATTGCATGTTTCGAGATTTGTATGTTTGAAACAGTACATTTGTTTAACAAAATAAGAAATACAATTATTATCAGTTATCATATTGTGTTTGATGTACAATTCGACTATACAAGATTAGAAAACAAATGGTCCTTAATTTTTTTCCCTAATTTTTTGTGTTTGAAACTTTTAGAAGTCAAATTTGTCAAATTAAATCTCATTATAAACTTTAATTATACTTATTTGCATATAATATAATTATTATATAAACCAAATAAATAAAAATGATATTCTATGCAGGTTTTTTAATTCTATATGCAGCAAATGTTTCGGTTATGTCCTTTTGTGTTAAGACTTTTGTTATCCAATAATACATTTATCAATTATCGTTATTTACAGCTTAAAAACTAACCAATTAGAATTTTTATTAGAATTTTGACCAAATTCTAACGCTAATACATATCATTACATCTGACGTTTTATATTAAGTCTTCTTGCTATTTCTGTATTTACAATACGTACTAATAATTGAATTGCTTTTGTTCAAAAATGTATCCTTACTATAATTGTCAGTATCGTTGATTAAATTATTAACAAATTTGGTTAATTGGCTCTATAAATATATTAATAAATCTCTTAAAAAAATATTTTTAAAAAAATTACACATTTATTTAAAAAAAATTCAAGAGCGAATAATTGATGAAAATTTTATTTTAATTTTTATTTTTATTTTAAACCCCACTTTATCGATCTAGAGAATTGATCTTACTAATTAAATTTCACGTTTATGATTTTAATCCACTAGGATGCCCGGATGTTAGCAACAAAAGTAGAAAAATTTGACAATTCATAAAAATTTATTGTATTTTCGCAAAATAACAGGCTCCCTAAAAATAACATGTTTCAAGATGAAGTTCTAAAATCATGTACACTTCATAGAATAATGTCACATAAATTCTGATTGTTCGGTATAAAGACCCACCGACTCCGATTTCTTTAAATTTTATTAATGAATTTACAGGTAAAACTTGTTAAATGCATGAAAAATAGGGGCTTTCTCTTGGCATAATTCATATTAACGTAAATATGTGTACATTATCTTGTACACTGTCTTGAAAAATATGGTTAGAAAAACATTTGTCTTTGTCTCAAACAAAGACACGTGTGTACTAGGGAGAACGCACATATATTCAGATAATGCGCAGATGGCGTTAAGTACTTCGTGAATATGTAATAGTTATATCCTGGGCAGTTGGGTATAAGCGGGGCTGAAAGTCCCGCTTATCACATAGTGCCCAGGGT